GGGGCCGCCACGTGACCGCCCCGCCGACGGGGTGCCGGGCGTGGGGGCGGGTCCGAGGACGCAGCCTCTGGCGGGAGGCTCAAAAGCAGCCTCCAAGGGAGCCAGAGGAGGGGGAAGCGGTCAAGGCGGTTCCTCCCTGTGCGGTGGCAACGGACAACCCCCTCACCAGGGGAGTGACCAGGAGAACACCGGCGGAACACCCAGGAGGAGGTAAGGGATGGCGCACCGGAGGAGGAGGCAGCAAACGGGAGGGTGGCTAGGAAGCAGCCCGGGGCAAGGCCATTTTGGAGGCCGTGGGCTGACGCGTTACGGGGTGGGACCCCGTCAGCTGGGTGAGGGTGTTCACCCGAACCCTTAGGGCCCCGGTGGAGCGGGCGGGCCCGGGTCCCCCTAGCCCTCAGGCTGCCCTGGAAAGGCCTCTGGCAAGCCAGGTGGGAGAAGTAAAGGAAAAGAAAGGAGACACGAACAACAAGCAGACAGAGTCAGCGAAGGTAAACTGAAGCTCCCGGGACTAGCAGCTGAGAATCGGGGGCTCGCTGAGCACCTTCCGCCCTAGGGTCGGGTCTGGACGACTGCTCGCGCCCAGTCTTAGGGTCCGTACAGCTGAGACTGGGGGCTTGCTAGGCCGGGGTCCTGCTCGCTGGAGAGGCTCCGGATTCGCGCCCGGACAAAACCTGTCACACCTTGCTAGACATTGTGCTCTGGGGGGAAAAGGGTGAGCCTCTACCACTTCAGCTAAAGAACGACATCTCTTCGTATGGATGCCGTAATGAAAACATTAATGCGGTTGGTTTATCCACAAAACCATCCCGTCCTTAGGATGGTTCAAGGCAGCTGCCTCAGACCCCATGCTTAGAGAAGCCCAGTGGTGGCTTCCTCAACCATCCTCTGGTGGGACCCAGAGGGTTACCCGGGGGGCCTGGCTTTGGGAGGCAGCAGAGATCAGGCCCCCCGCACTCACTAAGGCAGCTGGAATGAACCAGCAGCCTGCTCCACTCTGTCTTGCTATCCATCTCCCAGCCTGCTATACTATGTTTCAAAGCAGAAGGAAGCAGAGTACCCCAGTCCTATGGTGCTCCACTTCCTGCCACTGCAATGAAGCTACGTGCAGTGGGCAGGGAGGTGGGTGGCAGCTTGGAGCAGGGCAGGCTGCCAGATTGCTCCAGATTTTGCTGCTGTGGTGAGTGCAGGTGACCTGCC